AGGGACGCTGTAACCGTTCTCGCAACTGACACGGCGACTCCAGTGTATATAAGTATCGAGAGATTCGTCGCGAGACCAGAGTATATCTGCGAATCCGTTTAATGACGCGGATATCTCTTGTCTATCATCTGCGAATCTATTTAAAGACGCGGATTTCTCTCGCCTATCATTGATTTTTCAATGATAGAATTTTTTTGCAGAATGCTATTTTCTAATAGCTGCTGCATTTTTAAATTATTATAATTTATAAATAATAAATTATTTATTATTTACATGAATTATTAAAAATAAATAATTAAACAAATAAATATATTAAACAAAAATTATAAACATTAATTTTTTATTATTATTATTTAATTAAAAAAAATTTATTTAAAAAAATTTTTTTCTCTTGGTTGCCAATATTCGGCCAATATTGGACCAATATTGACAACCGATGATTGTCGATGCCGTTACATCCCAAGCATCAGCCCATATTGGTCCAATATTGGGAGTCAATCGGCGCCCATCACGGCAACCAATATTGGACCGATATTGGACCGATTAAAGTCTATTGGCAATTTCTCACTGGGAAATAATTCGGCGTTGCCAAACGTTTTACGTTACCAAGTGAGTCAAATCATTAAATATTTGTCACTGTTTTGACTAGCTGCGTCAAGCGATAGAACCTCCTTAATGAATCAGATAACTAGCAATTAGTGGAATTCTACTAAACAATTAATGAAAATTCACTAATAAAAATAGAGAAAAGTCTATCCTGAAAATGACTAACAATGAGTTAAATTTTACAATTTGTTAGTAGTATTTTACTAATTCAGATCATGAAGCTGAAGTCCACAACGTTGATCAACGAAAAAAATTTATTTTAATACATTCAAATATTATTTATAATTTAATATTTAATTGTAAAACAATTATCATCAAAATATAAACATCAATTTTTTTCTAAATATTTTTGTGTCAATATTGTTACGTTAATTATCTATATAATATAATTAATTTACTTAGTGAACAATTTTTTTTTCATTGATCAACGTTGTGGACTTCAACTTGGTGACTACTCTTTGAATACCATTGTATTCAAAGTTGTGGACTTCATCTTGGTATTCAAAGAGTAGTCACCAAGTTGAAGTCCACAACGTTGTTCAACGAAAAAAAATTGTTCAGAAAGGAAATTAATTATAGATAACGCAACAATATTGACACAAAAATATTTAGAAAAAAAATTGATGTTTAGGTTTTGATGATAATTGTTTTACAATTCAATTTTAAATTATAAATAATGTATTAAATAAATTTTTTTCGTTAATCAACGTTGTGGACTTCAACTTCATAGATTAGTCTGAGAGTATAGAACATTTTGAATATAATGAAAAATGTCAGGAACATAACCTATAATTTTTGGCTCCTTATTAAAATGCACCACATTTATTATATTTGTTGTCATAAAATTTATGCATGATTATAATTAAAATTAAATTCTTGAATGTAAATAAAATAATTTTTTAAAACTAAAAAATAGTTTATCAAGTAAAGATCAATATAAAACAGTTTCAATGAAATATTTTTGTGCCCTTGACAAAAAGTTGGAAACTATTTTTGAAACTGGAGTTTTCGACTATAGGTGCACACAGAAATTGAAGTTAGATCATCCCACGTGTGAGTTAAACTTACAACCTTTTTTTTAATAAAATATTTAATCTGTTTTTTATTTCTACATCAAAGGACGAACTATCGATTATCGAAGAGGTTTTCCTTGAATTCTATCCTAATCCAGCACATCTCAGGCGCAAAACTCTGAATAATTATTATATGAAAAAATATATAAGTGCAGGGGGGGAAATTTATATATTAGTACATTCTAGAATTCAAAGCAAGGTTTAAAGAATGTGGGTCGATGCAATAAGAACGTTACAAAACAATTACCGTTATATTCTAGAAATCAAGCTTCGACGCTCTCGCGTGCGTCCAGATAAAACTTCAACTGATTTATTTCGACATCGATGAAGTCCCAACAAGAGGCGCGAATACTATAACGGTTTGAAAACCATTGGAATGTTATCTTCTTCGTATGTTACATTCACAATCTTTTATACGAACATACTTCTACACGCATAAAATAACGATATCAGGTAATAAAAAGATAGATATTCCTAATTCGCTTATAAAGTTCATTTTTACGATTGAAACCAAAGAGTTGCATGTCGAAGTCGTTCTTATTTTAACATGCAACTTCAATGAAAAAACTGTCACGACTCTGATCACAAAATGTTGAAATGTTGGTGAAGTTCACAACGTTTATAATCAAGGAATTTGAAATGTCACCTTAGCCTGACATACCCCTACATTCCCAAATTGGAAAAATATTTATCAAATGTTAAAAAGTTGAATTAATCCATTTCAAAAATTAAGTTCATTTTTTCTAAACTACTTTTACTAATCAATAAAATAAATTTTCATTTTCGTAATTCGGAATACTAGATTTTACTGATAAGTGTATATTAAAATTTAAATCACTCTGAAAACTTTGCTTTAGTTATGGGAAATATTTTTAAATAAAATTGATAACAACATATTTTCCCAGACAAACATTTGTAAAATTTCAAGAAAATTAATGTATATTGACAATTACTCGAAAAATACGAAAGTAAACAATACATTGTTTACACAACAAAGATTCTAATGTTGACCTTTTAAATTCTGAGTAATCTAAATAAATTCAGTTAAAAGGTTTCTATATGAAGATTGAGAAATATCGATTTCCACTTCCAGTAGTTTCGACAAAATATTATTAAGTATCAAAATACTACTCTATTTAGAAATGTTATATAAATTCAAACAAAACAATTTTCTACCTTTTCAAATAATAATCATTAGCCAAATATTAATGTATATTCCTTAATTATCATATAATTAATGACTATTTATTCTTAATTTATATATAATAATCTACTTGTTGTATTTATATTAATTTTAGATTATTTAAATTATTTAAATATCTGAATTTTATTATATAATTTACAAGTGAATAATAAATATAATCGAAATAAATTAAATATATTGAAAATACTTAAATAATTTTTTATTATTAGAAATATTGTCGGAGTGGAAATTTTTGTAAGTGTCTTAAACTTGTTTGAGAACAACTTTGGGTTTTATTTCGCGGGACAAAGGAGACTCTGAGTTTTAGGCGGTTCGAGGACCATATGATAACCATATGGTCTATGCTAGACAAGGTCAGCGAGGCATAGGAATTTGGCGACCCCCAAGGAAAGCGCGGTTTTTCCAAGGGATGACTTGGGCAGTCGCTGTTTTGGGTCCGAAGTGTAAAGATGCACTTTTATCTGTTAGAGAATTCGGCATTACGGAAAATATAATTTAATTGTTGGCGATTCATGTATCCTGATTCGAGCTTCGTGGAATAAATTTTTTGTTTATTTAAAAGCTGTTGATTTATTTATTTATATTAAATCGGTATTATTATTTTTTATTATTGTGGTAATAACACTTTACCACAATATTTTATTATTCATTAATATTCTAATTAGTTGTATTATTTTTTTAAAATAATTTCTAATTATTTTGTAAAGTTGTTGTTTATTTTGTCAAATTTCTAGCCATATACAATAATGATTAATTTATAATATGTTTAAAGAAAACATTTTTCTAATTAGACGAATTATTTTAAAAAATAATTTTTAATTAGAATAAAATGTTTATTTTTTAGTTAAAGAATAAAAATAATGTATTTATAATTAATTATTACATTTGAATTAATTGCAAGCGCGAATATATTATAAATAAATAATAAATAATAATAAATAAAAAATAATAATAATAATTAATAAATAATTTTTGACAAACCGTTTCTAAAATTGTTGTTTCAATTATTGAAAAAAGTAAGTTTTAAAAATTGTCTTAAATTGAAAAAATATTCACTGTTGAATAAAAACCGAGAATGTATATATAATTTTACCTTATGAATTAGGCTTTACGTATATATGGTTCAGTTAATAAAAGGTGGAATTCAATAAAAAAAAAAGAATGTGTCAAATATCTAATTTCTAATAAAAATATTAGTAATATTTCATCTAAAACATATGATCCTAAAGTTCTGAACGTTCAAATGAACGAAATTTATTTTCTTCTTCTACAAATTAAATTTTTATTATAATATTTTATGTCACTATGAATAAAATTAATTATAAAGATTCTAAATATAAAACTTATGCTTTTAATCTGTATTGCAATCAGTAATTTATAAAAATATTTTTAATAAAAAGTATTTCGTTCATTTGAACGTTCAAAACTTGTGGATCGTTAAAACATTTCATCATACAATAGTCCAAACAAGAAAAAACTCTGCTTGCAAGAAGGTCAGTTGCAATTTGTTTACAGTATCAAATTTAACAACCTTGAAAATTAAAAAAAACTTTCTGTTTCTAAAGGTTTACTTATAGTGTTATATTGCATTCTCCAAATCGAAGTATTCCCAAAAATATAAAAAAATGTCAGCGTATAAAAAAACCTATGACCATAAACACAAATCAAAATATCAATTATTAAAGAGGGGAAAAAAATATTGGCGCGCTTTTTGTTGCTACGGGATTCATCAATATCTATATATATTGATAAAGTTTAACGACCTTGGTGATATTAAAAATCTGACAGAAAAATATTCCACGCAGTTGAAGGTCTTTACAAATCAAGCTCTTTTTAAAAGAAGCATTCAAAATAAATAGACAACGAAAGGATATAACGCAAATCGCGAGAAAAACATTCGAGAAAAATAAAAAAAAGGCGGGACCATGATTGTTTACGCGCTTTTTTCAGCAACACGGGGTTCACAAATGTTAAAACAGAATCTGTCTAATGATAAAGTTTAACGAACTTTTCAATCATTTTCTTACCAATATCAAATTGATATTTAATGATACTTACGTGAATATTTAATCATTTTGTTAGACTAAATGCTAAAGAATAATAGTAATAATTTGTACCTGTAGGTCCTGACAATTATTATCCCTGTGGCTGGCAGCACGAATCACCCCCGCACGCCAACCCCACTCACTGATTTTATTCCTTAACTTGGTGAAACCACTCACTGAGAGGAATCTCTTTCCCACGATATCCTCTCGAAACTTATACGCCATAATATTATGACAACTAAAATACACTCGTGATGAACACGCTGCTTCTTAAGAGCAACTTTACAGCGCTGATAACAACAGATGATCACTTTTAACAATATGAATATATTGCACAGATCGTCACTCTTTGAAGAACCCCCTCCCCCCAAAAACAAAAACAGTTGAGTTTTTCTTTAAAACGTTGAGACACAGAACAAAAATCACTTTAGGTATTGAGAGAGAAGACCTGACACTAACGTTGAAGCGCGATATCCTCGCTTTACACCGTTGTTTCTCACCTTTCCCCCCTTTTATCCAACGTCAACACTAATTTGGGCTGTCACTAGTCATCAGGGGTTCCGGTAAAACACGGTTTTTTATTAACACTCATCCAGTGACCTTAATGATAGCGCGATAAAGTACTTCGAAAGGTATAAGAATTGTGAGCGTGAAAGTGACACACACATGACCGACCACTGATATCGCGTAGCGCGCACTGCGGGCGGTTAGCAGGGAGGCCCGTCGCTTCCCCTTCCCGCTGCTCCCCCTCCCACCCACTTCTTGGACGAAGCGCGGGAATGGGGGAAGGAGATATTCGAATCATTCTGCCTGTGCTGTGGTCTTTTCAAGGCATTTATTGGGGGGTGACAAGGTGAAGGTACAGGCAGTCATCGATTCCGGTCCCTTAATCCCTCATTAAGGATTAAGGAATATTAATTTTTTAAATATCAACATTTTCAAACTTTTTATTAAATTCGGATTCATTATTTTATTACAATTTCAGGCATAGGGTAAGTGCACTAGTTTCTCCGGCATTTCAGCCAACAGCCAAGACATCTTTTGCGTAGAAAAAAATATTTATAGCCAAGGAATAAATTTAAAAGAATAAGACGCTTGGATCTCCTTTTTAATTATTTAAATTTAGACAATTGTATCCATTATGGTTCAAAATAATTTTTTCGAAAATTTTTAAAAATATTATTTATTTTAAAATTATTATTTTTATAAATTTATAAATTATTTATTTTAAATTAAAAATTTAAAAAAAAAATTTTTTTTTCTTTAGTGATAAGTTATTTACTAACTTCTGATGTATAGAACCAGAAAACATTACACTACTAGTTGTAAGTAACTTAACTTTTTTAGTAAGTCAGTTACAAGTAACGAGTTACTACTATAAACACTGTTTACAAGTTTACAACACAAGCTGAATATAACATAATAAAGATTTTATAATAATTTATTATTAATTAGGTCATTGCTCTAACAAAATAAACAAAAGAAGAGAAACTGCGAGTAATTTGTATCAAAAATTAGTAATTGACATTTATTTGTTTAAAAAATTGATAAATTGTTAAAATCATTAATTATCTTTATTTTTTACTTTTAAGATTAGTTAGTTGCAAAATTAGAAAAAATGCAAGTTTTCAACTGCTTTGTGCTAAGAGTTAGTAAATAATAATTGTTTGTAATTCAATTAATTAATTAATTATAAAGAAAAATTGTCTAACTAATTTTTTCATGTGCTTTATTTTTTTACAAATTGAAGGTACATTTTTTGAGGATTAATATTTATATTTCTCTTACAAAACGGGCTTTAATTTAAATAATTTAATTCCAATTATCAAGACGAATATCCATACCAGTTTCAAAATGTTTTTTTATTCAACTGTGTTTATTGGTCCACAATAAAATTGCCTAACTAACATAAAAATATAATGTAAATAATCCTATTTAGTAAAAACATTTTTCAACATTTAAGGTAAAAGTACCAATTATGGGACGCTGTTTAAGCTAAACTAAATTTCTATGATAAATTTCTTGGAATCGGGAGTGTTAATATGAATAATTAGGGTATAGATTGAAAGATTGATATGTTATGAATAATATTTAGACCCTAAAATGGTTATTTTTCATGAAATAAAAATAATATTAATTAAATTATGAAACTCTGCACTGCACTAATTATGGGACTATGATTTCTGTATGTACGGGTGTCCCATAATGAATGTTCCTATTATGAGACATTTATTTAATTCAATAAGTAATTAGAATTCTATTGACTTATCCTAATAATTTGAATATTAATTATAAAGAATAAAATACAATAAACAAATTCTGGTTTAAAAAATAATTATAAAACTAATTTTTCTGGTAGAAAATTAATGCGAAAAAACTGAAAAAATATTTGAAAATATTTGAGGTTATGTTTGCTGTATATTTCCTGTGTGTCTCATAATAGGGATAGCAAATAATAAGTGCACCTAATGTGGGACGGTAGTCTGACGAAAAACTTGGCTTACCTTAATTTGAAAGCTAAAATGCAAATAAACATTTCTTATTAAATTAAATGCTATACACAAATAATTATTCTTTTAACGTGTAAAATTTTTTGAAATAAGTAGAAATTTCTTATGACCAATTTTAATTGCATTTATTTTATTTTTTGTAATACTGTCTCATAATAGGGACAAAATTGTAAATTGTCCCATAATTGGGACCTTTACCTTAGTGGAAAATTTCAAATTTAAAACGATGCACAATTTATTGATATTTAAAAAAATTTTATTCGTTTCATTAAAAAAGGATATTCTGTAAAAATAAAAAAATTTTACTTTTAAAGAGTTGGTACACCTGACGTTCAATATCTGAATAACTTCAATTTCTAGTTTCTTCATCATTCAATATAAGAAAGAAATTTTGATGTGTAAAAATTATGCGTGAAATAAAAGCACAAATATAAATATTGGATCCTTTTTAAATGACGGTGCCTTTTAATGATACGGGAGTGTGATCACGTGACGAAAACATCCAGTGACGTCACAAGCGCAAGAGCAAGAGTCACAGCTGCCAGTTCAAAATGGCCGACCTGTGAGCAGCGGTGCTATTATCAAACTCTACTGAAAACGTTCGCTTTTATATTTCGTGTGTGTCTCGTTTTGTGTTTAAATCAGCTAATATGATATCTTCGATCGTCTCGCGGGTAGTCATGTGAGTATCTTCTGAATTTCTTGTTAGGAAACAATAAAAATTTGACCAAGTTCGCGTCATCTGTGCGTTGTTCTCAGGCCATCGAAATGGGGGTTGTTGCGACAATCTATTTACCAATTTTATTTGCCTTTCACTTTTAACATCTAAACACCTGCAATATCTTGATCGTTAGTTGCGATATTTGTCTCGTCAATTACTATACTTGAATATTTACAATTTACAAAAATAAATAATCATCAACGAATGAAATCTGCGTCTTTGAATATGGAGTTATGTTCAAAACAATGAAACCTCAGGATACAAAAGAACCAAAATCAATTGTCATCGAAATAACTAGAGTAATTTTTATTTACAAAGAGTTATTTTGTAGACGTTTTATTTTATTTTCTGTGAATTATCATAAGGGAAGGAGAAAAATAGTAATTTGTGAAATAATCGATTGGGGTAAAATTGCTTTGTCTTTTATAACCTCAAAAAAAAAAAAAAAATACATGACAAGCCAAGGACGAAAAACGAGTGGTTCAAAATAATATGTAATTTCAAGTGGGAGGTAAGCAATGAAGCAATAATATTCTTGAATCTCCTGATCGTTGATGTCAAGGCAAATTCGAAGGCATGAATGTAATACAATCGTGATAAAGGGAATAGAAAGAGAGGAAAACAAATTCGTTGAGATTTCGCGCTCTATGAAACAAAGGCATCGTTTAATGCGCACTTGAAGCACTTGATTACGTGCTGGTAGTGAAAGTGCATCATGTTTTGTAACCTCGTCTATTGTGGAAGTCGACGTGGTCGACGGCCAGGCAGAGTTCTATTTCTAAGGTAGACTCGACCTAACCTAACTATCACTTAAAGAAGCCTGCCCACCACAAACAGATGTACTCATTACAGGGTTCTCTCTATACTTATTACGAAAGTACTTCACTGTACTTGCGCATATCACGCAAATAAAAATAATAACGGAAAGGTCAGGATTCAAACTTTACGCCTTCTCTCTTTGTTTACGAAACTAACATCACGAACTCAATTTCAGTTTTTGAAGGTTTTTCCAAACTTTTTGCACTCTTTTTCTCCTTTGTTGTATTTATTTCATTTCGTTTGTATATAAATTATGGATTTGTTTTACTTCAACTTAATAAAAATAAAAGTTTCCTCCTAATAGAGGATAAATCTTGTTCATTTTAGTTTTCTCGATTAAAAAATTAAGTTTCATGGACATTAATTAATCGCATTCTTCAGCGTTCTAGATTGACTGGATTTGTTAAAATCTATAAATCAGGATTTGAATGTTTTTTTTGAAAAAACTTCCTTTTTTGGAAGATTTAAATGCTTGAAGTTTAATTAGATTTTTTTTTATAGATTTATTCATTCGTATTGCTCTAATTTCATTAAAGTTGAGTAAAACCATTTTTTTCCTTTAACAACTATAAATAACGAATTTCTTGGAAAATTACGTCGCTAATTAGATAAATTTGTTTTTATCTAATTATTTAAGTTACGTTTTTTATAGTCGTCTGAAATATTTTAACTACTAAAGTCGTTCACTAATTATACACTACGACAGTGATTCATAATTTTAAAATAGTGGATAATTTTTTTAATTTTCTAAACTTATTTGAAAATAAAATTAAAAAAAAAACTGTTTTCTCTTTATAAGAAATTGGAGGAGAAGGTGTTGCATTTTTTGTTTATTTTTTGAAATCGCATTTTGGTTGAAAATTGATGAAAATAAATAATATTTATTTATATTTTGAAAGAAGAAACTTGCACGTGTTTCTAAGTGTCAGATAACGGATTTCTTGTTTCCTTCATCAGCTGATCGTACAGATCGCACGCTAGGCATGTCACAAAGAGGCGCGCGGGTTGCTGCACTCTCTTTGTGCTTACTTATTTTTATTTAAGTCTCTCTCTTGCACATTCGCAATTTTACACTCACATTTATACCCATACATACGGTTTTATTGCGCCTTGCAAACTCTGAATGACTCACATATATTCCCATGATTGCACTTGAAATATAAAAAGTGGCACAAGGAAAAAGAGCAAATTAAATCCAGCTTTGTTTAAATATATTTCTGAGAATAAATAATATACAAATAAAAGAAACATAAAATTCTATCTGAATGTAGTGTAAAAGCAAATGTCTAAATAATCCCAAAAAGTGAATAATTTTTTTATTTTAACTTGAGCAATTAATTTTCCATGTTTGTCTCAATTCAGGGCTCGAAGTAGGTCCGTAAATCCTGAAAAAGTCCGTAAAAGTCCTTAATTTCATTCAAAAAGGATGAAAAGTTCGTAAATTGTACAATATAATTTTGAGAATTTTAGAGAAATTACAAATGATTGCAGAAATTCAAATATTTTTAAAAGTAATAAAGTTCTTCGCAAAAATTCAATTATGTTCAAAAATTTTTTTAAATTCTCGTCTAAAAAACATTGTCAACATTTCAATTATCTTTATAAATAAATAGCAAAATTCTTCGACAAAATTCAATTATTTTCAAAAAATTTTATTAAAATTCATTAAAAAATTTTCAAATATTTTCATAATTAACAATATTTATCACACGAATTCAATTATTTTCTAAAGTAATAAAATTCAATTATTTTCAAAAATTTTAATAAAATCCATTGCAAAATTTGAATTATTTTCAAAACTAATAATATTCTTCGCAAAAATTAAATATTGTTCAATCTATATATATAAAATCAGACTTTTGTCTGTTCATTGCTCAGAACTTTAAATTTCGCACATAATTATTCGTTTTGAGCATCAAGGATTCCAAATATACCAATAAAAAATTTCGTGTATGTGTGGGTGTATGTATGTATGTGTGTCGGTATGTCACAGAATCTTTGTTCGCGCATCACTTAAAACATTCAATTATTCAATAAATTACTTATTTTTGTATTTAAATAATTGAATTTTATTGAGACATTTTTTTAAAATATTGTCTTAAAAATAATTGAATTTCTACCAAAAAAAGTTTTATCAAAACTTTTTAAAATGTTTGAATTTCTGCTAAAATTCTGATATTTTTGAAAATAATTATGAATTCTTGCGAAGAATTTTATTAAGACTTTTGAAAAATAATTGAATCTCTTCAAAGATTTTTATTATTTTACGAAAATATTTAAATTCTTGCGAAAAATTTTATCAAAATTTCTGAAAGTAATTGAAGATCAGCTAAGAATTTTGTTTTTTTTATTTATGCGAAGAATTTTATTAAAATTTTTAAAAATAATTGAATTCCTGTTAATTTTTTACAAGAATTTAATTATTTTTGAAAATTTTAATTTCAATTCTTCGCAAGAATTCAATTATTTTCATAAATACTAAAATTCAATGCAGAAAAATGTAGATTCGAAAAATGTAGATTAGATTAGATTAGATTTATTTATTCTTTATTGTACACTTTTTACAGTTTTTACAATTTCTATTCCCTGCATAACATTGTACATACGAAAAATGTAATTATTCTTAAAAATTTTATTAAAATTCGTTGATAGAATTCAATTACTTGAAAATTTGTTGATAACGATTTTTTATGGGAATTGAATTTTAAGAAACGTTCAATTATTCAATAAATTATTTATTTGCATTTTATTTGTATTTAAATAATTGTCACAGGGTGTCTACTAACCGGGAAATAACCGGGAATTTTATTTGACCGGGAAAAACCGGGAATTACCCGGGAATTTTATACCAAACCGGGAATTTTTTTACCAAAATTAAAAAAGTTTTATTATTTTAATTTGTTTTTAAAAAATCACTTTTTATTTCAATTTTTATAGGTATTTATACTGTTCTCTAAATTTAAGTTAGTTAAAAATAATTAATTTGATAGTAAAAAATCAATCACCAATTCAAACATATTATGTAAATAAATTTTTTTAAAAATATGGAGTTAATAGAAATATTTTTATAGGTATTTATATTGTTCTCTAAATTTAAGTTAGTTAAAAATAATTAATTTGATAGTAAAAAATCAATTCGACTGAAAATATGTAACTAAATTTGTTAAAGAATTTCATTAGAAACTTTTTAACAAATAGAATTTTCAAAGTATTTTAATTTAATAATTGATTAATAATTGAATATTATAAAGAGTTAAATTCTAATGTATTCATGTTTCTTACTGCGAAGATTAATAATTAAAATTTTTATTAGTTAATTTAAAAAAATATACATAGGGGAGACTGGGGCGAAAAGTTAAATTTTGCATAAATGATTTTTTTTTTGGCAATATAATCCGCTTAGATGCAAATATTTGTATATCAATATTGTAGGGCAACTTGTCCTCTACAACTTTCAATAAAAAAGTTCCTAATATTTTCGCAAAAAATACATGTTTTGTCCTTTTTTGAAAATTTTGTTTTTTTTAACTTTTCGCCCCACCCTGGGGCGAAAAGTTAAATTCTATTTTTAGCCTACTAAAACTATTTTCTAATAGGTGATAAGTAGTAGATAAGTTAAAGTATACGTAAACAAGTAATTTAGTAAATAAAAGATCTTTGTTTATTTAACAAAAGCTTTAGAATAGTTGTAAAGTTAAAAAATTGAAATTTCCAAAATAAACAATTTTTTTTTAGTTTATTTCACGTTCACCGGCTTATTTTTTGACAGAGTACTTGACCAATGTCAAATAAATAATGTTCAAACAAATAAACCCAAAAAAACGAAAAATAAAAAAAAATTTTTTAACAACATGTAAAAATACACGGAGAAACTTTTAATACCACTAATTCTTAAAACTGGTGAGACATTTTAGTATGTTAGGTTAGATTCAAGGGAAAAACGACATAGGTTATAGAAATTGCTATTGAGACTATCAAAAACACTCATTCAGTATATATTTTACAGTTCTTCATAAGGAAACTAACGAAAATTAGTATGTTGTTTTAGAAAGAAAATAATAATTTTTGCAAAGTTGGGAAAGCCATGAATTAAAAAGAAACACAACAAATTAATTGTCTATAGATACTCATAGAGACGATAG